AAATTTACTCTTTTACAGGGTGCACTCTGGTTTTTAGTATATTCACAAAGTTGTGCAACCAATACAGGTATTGATCAACTTATGACCTATGCAACTTATGACCATTCGACTTTACGGCCACAATCGCTAGCCACGACTGCTCCACGTCTGGCAGCGCAAACGTTGCCCAGCTGTGCATACGACAGTGCAGACCAGCTTCCGGCTGCACTACCATCTCCGCATGCATATAGCCTACTCAACTTACAACCAAATTGTGTTACGACCCGTCTGCCGGTCCCAATTGTGGTCGTTTAAGTCGAGCACTAGCTGCATCATTATCCAATTTCAGAACACTTCACCACATCAAAGAGCAATGCCACGCCCACTGTCATTCTCCATTTCGTCTGCATGTGGCTATCCAGTTGTCCTAGCACCATTTTTTGAACTATTGTTTTTCCCATTGAATTGTCTTGATGCTCTTCTCAAAAATCAATTGACCAGGAGGGGTCCAGTGGCTCATGACTGTAATCCCAGCATTTTGGGAGGCCAAGATGGGAGGATCACCTGAGGTCAAGAGCTTGAGACCAGCCTGGACAACATGGTGAAACCCCATCTCTACTAAAAATACAAAAATTAGCCAGACGTGGTGGCATGCACCTGTAATCCCAGCTACTTGGGAGGCTGAGGCAGGGAATTGCTTGAACCCACGAGACGGAGGTTGCGGTAAGCTGAGATTGTGCCACTGCACTCCAGCCTGGATGACAGAGCAAGACTGTCTCAAAAAACAAAAACAAAAGCAAAGGGCTTGGCATGCTGGCTCACAGCTGTAATCCCAGCACTTTGGGAGGCGGAGGTGAACAGATCACCTGAGGTTGGGAGTTTTGTAAAAATACAAAATTAGCAGGGAGTGGTGGCGCATGCCTGCAATCCCAGCTACTTGGGAGGCTGAGGCAGGATAATCGCTTGAACCCAGGAGGTGGAGGTTGCAGTGAGCCAACATTGTGCCACTGCACTGCAGTGTGGGCAACAGAGCAAGACTCTGTCTCAAAACAAAACAAAACAAAACAAAACAATTGACCATAAATGTGAGGGTTTATCTTTGGGATCTCAATTCTGTACCATTGGTCTATATGTCTGCCCTTATGCCAGTACATCAACTGTTTACTGTAGCTATGCACTAAGTTTTGAATCAGTAATTGTGACTCCTCCAAACTTTGTTCTTTTTCAAGACTGTTCTGGGTCCTTTGATTTTCCACATGAATTACAGGATCAGTCTGTGATTTTGCCAAAAAGGGAGCTAGGATTCTGATAGGAATTACACTGAATCTGTAAATCAGTTTGGGGAGTACTGCCATCTTAACATCTTCTAATCCATAAACACAGGACATTTTTGCATTTATTTAGGTCTTTCTTAATTTTTTTCAACAGTGTTTCGTGGTTTTCAGTGTAGAAGTCTTACACCTCCTTTGTTAAGTTTATTCCTAGGTATTTTATTCTTTTGGGTGCTACTGGAAATAAAACTGTTTTCTTGATTTTACTTTGGGATTGTTCATGGTTTGGGTATAGAAATATGATTGATTTTTGTATAATGATCTTGTATCCTGCAACGCTGCCACCCTTATTTGTTCTAATAGTTTTTAAGTGGTTTCTTAGGATTCTGTACATAGAAGATCATGTCATCTGCAAAGAGTTTTACATTTTTCTCTCCAGTCTGGGAGTCTTTTATTTCTTTTCTTTCCTTATTTCCCTGGTCTCTACCCTCTTAAAGCCTATATAGTTTCTTGAGTGACTTCCCTTTTTCCCTCATTAGAATAAGTTTTCTGGGGAGAGGAGACAGAGCATAGGAAGGGAGAAAGTGGAGCTTTAAAAATGTGTACTTTGAATTCATTTCAAATGGCTTCATACTTTCTCAGTGGAAATGTCTTCCTTCACAGCACCTGGGCCCAGGGATTTTCTGGAGGAATCTTTGAAATCTGTTTTGGACACAAGCCTAGCTGAGCTCAATATCCACCCTTCCTCGGCTAGTGCGGTATCTAAGATGACATGGTCACTTTCTCCAGTGCCCATCTCCCCTCCTTCTCTGGCCAATTCTTCATCGCTGGTCAAAGGTAGAAGAGCCAAGAGCAATAAGAGAAGCTTCCCAACATGCCAGCACAGGTTCTGTGATCAGTGACCTCTTGGAATGTGCAGGAAGCCAGGAAGATAAGAATCTATGGCTATGTAGATTAAGTGCACCCCACAGCCAAGTATGAGCTTCTAGTGCCCAATTGCTAGAAGCAAACAACCCAGACCACTAACCAGGCTCTAACCAAGGCAGGATCCAGGATGGTGAGCACCCTGGGCCAATCCTTCCGCTAAAGATGAAACTACGGTTCATTTTGAGTGTCTGGGGTAATATTTAATTCCAAATGCACAAGTCTCCAGAGTAGCTGCCCTTTCGTTTGGGGATTTCCTCCCGGGTGCTAAATCACTTCCTCCTAGCTTCAATCTGAAAAGCAATTCAGGTCTCCTGTGGCCTCACCAAGCTTCCTGCCCACACTGATTTTCTTCTAACCTCATGGGTCTACTTGTGTATATCACCTAACAACAAAGCCACTCAGCTGGTTGAAGGCCTCCAGAACAAATGACTTCCTGATAAGGTGACTCCTCCCTCACCCTAGGGTGACCCATGGCTCCAGCACCTACTGAGAAGTGACCAATTTGGATGAGGTAGTTGCCAGGAGTCAAACCACAGAACCCTTCATAAAACCATGCTTAGTTACTCCACAAATTTCTCCAAATAATAAAACAGAGAGGAGTGAGAATACAATGAGAGAGAAATCTGGAAAAATACAAAAGATAAATTCATGTTCCTGTGAGTTGTATTCATCTTCCCATAAGTTGATAATCAGGCTGGCTAGCTGTCTAGTCTATGGGGGCAGAGAGGGGGCTGCATTAACTTCCGGTAGGCACAGCATCTCTTTTTTTTTCCTCTCTCTCTCTTTTAAAATACTTTAAGTTCTGGGGTACATGTGCAGATCGTGTGGGACTGTTACATAGGTGCTGCATCCATCCCCCTGTCATCTACATTAGGTATTTCTCCTAATGTTATCCCTCCCCAATCCCCTCACCCCCTGCTGTCCCTCCCCTAGCCCCCGCCACCACCACTGACTGCAGTGTGTGATGCTCCCCTCCTTGTGTCCATGTGTTCTAATCATTCAACACCCACTTATGAGAAGAGGCAGTGTTTGGTTTTCTGTTCTTGTGTCAGTTTACAGAGAATGATGGTTTCCAGCTTCATCTGTTTCCCTGCAAAGGACATGAACTCATCCTTTTTTATGGCTGCATAGTATTCCATGGTGTATATGTGCCACATTTCCTTTATCCAGTCTATCACTGATGGGCATTTGGGTTGGTTCCAAGTCTTTGCTATTGTAAACAGTGGCACAGTGTCTTGATGGGGCTACCTCCCTGATGACACCTGGGCACAACAAGGACCTCATGGCAGACAAACAGGAGGAAATGCTGAGGGTGTGGGAACATGCCACCACTAAATTACAAAAATACACACTCTTCTTTGTATGTTTCAACAGTACCACTTCCCATCTGTGTACCACTTGGCCATTTATTATCCCAAGTACCTAAAAACTAGTCAGTATTATCAAGACCTTAAGTGTGACATCTGTTTGTCATCTTTCAAGGTACCAGTTACTGTAACACAGCTATGGTTCATTTTGAGTGTCTCGGTGATGTATTTAATTCTATTTTTGTCTTGTTCATAAGCACCAAATAAAGCAATTTTGAAATTCCTTTCTTCGGTCTTCCTTCACACTCAATTAATTTATTGTCTAGAGCGACATTTCAACACACAGTATGTTTGCTTTGCAGAATTCATTTACAACGTATCTTGAGGCCTGGATTAAACATATTTCCTGTAGTGACAACTACTCTATTTGTAGGAACTATTTAGGTCACTGGAGTGGAGAAAAAGAGGTCGCTGCTTAACAGAAATGGCATGTATCCAAATATAGATGCAGTTTTCTGAACACCTGTTGAACATCAAATGATGAAGAGATTGTTACAATTTCCAAAACCCTGGACCAAAACCTTAAATGATTGGCGCTTTGTTTCAACTGATACATGGTTTAAGTCAGAAAAACAAGTCTTCTTACCAAAAAAAGTGAACCTAACTATGCTGGCTGCTTTAGAAATAAAATAGGTGATTAACAAACCAATCTGTTTTTGTGTCAATTACTTCCCAGCTGAAGTCACTTCAGATGAAACTATATGATTTGAACCACAGGGCACATACAGTGATTGTGTGCTTTTGGAAACACGGTAAGCATGACAAATATTTTCAGTTGTCAAGGGTGAGCGAGGAGGGAATGACCCACCTAAGAAATGGAAACTAACAAATAGTAATATGACACTCCCCCTTAGTTCCACAGGCTGGTGCGGCTGCTACATGCCGCAGTTCACTTCCTACTAAAGGCTGTGCATGAGCTGAAGGAAGGCGGCCTCTTTATCCCCTCCCCAGAACACTGGGGTGGCACGTAAAGACCTCAAAGGAAGGGGGCCTGGGCGATACCCTCTCCTGCTGCCATTCATGTGTTCAATAAATAGTTATGTGCAGGGCACTGTGCTGGGAGCTTACTCTCCAACTAGGACTCTGCGGCCATTCGGATACCCCACGCCTCTGCCCCCATTTGCATCCCTAGGCGTCACTCCCTTGTCCAGAAGATGCCGATTCTGGCTCGCGCCCCTCCCTCCCTTGAGGCCTCCGGCCAGGGCGACGGGGCAAGGACAGCAGGAGCAAAGCCTTCCGAACCGCAAGGAAAGAGGGCTCGGAGTGTGCAGGGCGCGGGTTCATGGGACCCTCCAGCGCCCGAGGCCGGCCAGCCGGGGCGGGGCCGAGGGCACCGAGCGCCGCGCTCAGGGAGGGGTCCCCGAGGTCGCGCCCGCAGGGAGGGGCAGCGGCGGGAGGCGGCAGCCCGCGGCGCACACGCGGAGAAGGCGGCGCCGGGCGAGGGGCTGCGGCGTACCTGATGAAGGTGGTCTTGCCGGTGCTGTACTGGCCCACCAGCAGGATCATGGGCTTGTTCTCGAAGTCGGCGTCCTCCAGCGCGGGCGAGTGGAACTCGTGGAAGCGGTACGCCTCCTCCAGCGGCAGCACCTTGCGCAGGTAGAGCGAGCGCAGCCCGCCCGTCACCGTCTGCACCGCGTCCGCGCCACCGGCGCGCTCGCGGCCGCCAGCCTGCCGCCCCAGCCAGCTGAACATCCTGCCGCCAGTCCACGCTCGGCTGGGACCCTAGTCCGGGTTCTACCCTCCCCGGCTCGCATAGAGTCGCCCCAGCCACGCTAGCCGCCGCCCGAGCCCGGCCCCGCCTCGCCCTGCCACAGCCAATCCTCGGCCGCTACGTCACGTGCGCTCGCTCACTATTCAGAGGAGCTCTCTCAGGTCCTTCCTGATTGGACCTCTGCCAGCGAGGGGTGGAAGCGTCAGCCAATGGAGAGGAGGTTCTTAATGAATTATTGATGACGGGGGTCAGTCTAGAGGACTGGGAGGGGAGAAGGTGTCTCCCGGGTAGGATGGCGCTGACTGGTCATGCCCAGGGCCCCAGTCTGGTCGCCGGGGTCCCAACTCTGGCCAGGTGGCATCGGCTTCCGGGTAAATCTGCGCTGCCCAAAGCGAGCCTCCAGAGAATGCTCCATCTCCTGGAATGTTTACTCATTCAGGCCTCGGGACGTCAATACTGGGGATGAAAAGTTCAGAAAGTGGTCAGGCAGGTTCTGTCTTCCCAGGGCGGGTCGTTATGACCCCATTTTACAGGCCAAGAGACCTAGGCTCAACGGCATAATTGACACAATCTTAAGAAGGGGAAGTGGACTGGAATCTATTTGAGTAGCTGTTTCTCCTACTTCTCCACATTGCCCTCACTAAATTCTGGATCAACTAAAGGCCTTTTCCCCTTAGTTTTCTTTATTTGATTTTCTGTAAAGCCGAAAGTTTAGTCGTTACCCTCATTATTACATTATCCTCATTATTACAATCTTATTTCCACATATTGACATATGAGTTATTGTCACCGCCTAGCTGTTTCTTCTTTTTTTTTCTTTTTGAGACGGAGTCTCGCACTGTCGCCCGTGCTGGAGTGCAGTGGCGCGATCTCGGCTCACTGCAACCTCCGCCTCCCGAGTTCAGGTGATTCTCCTGCCTCAGCCTCCCGAGTAGCTGGAACTACAGGCGCCCCCAACGACGCCCAGCTAATTTTTGTATTTTAGTAGAAATGGGGTTTTTCCATTTTGGCCAGGCTGGTCTCGAACTCCTGACCTCAGGTGATCCACCTGCCTCGGCCTCCCAAAGTGCTGGGATTACAGCGTGAGCCACGGCACCCAGCCTAGCTCTTTCTTTTCTAGGTTAAAAGGACACTCACTTATCTAAGATGAGATTGGGGGACATAATCACCTTTGGTGTCCTCAGTTATAGCTTAGGACTATTTCTCAGTTGTTTCAGAGCATTTCTCAAGTGTGATCCATGGGGCCGCCTGCATATATGGATTTATGACCTGGGATGCTTGTTAAAATGCAGATTCCTGGTCCTCAGTCCAGACCTAGTGAGTTTTAAAATATTAAGGAGACGGCCAGGCGCAGTGGCTCACGCCTGTAATCCTAGCACTTTGGGAGGCCGAGGTGGGTGGATCACTTGAGGTCAGGAGTTCAAGACCAGCCTGGCCATCATGGTGAAACTCCATCTTTATTTTTTGTTTAAAAATATATTAAAAAAAAAATATTGAGGAGACTAGAGCTGAACAGATGCCCTAGGTGACTCTGATGTGCCCTAAATCTGGGGAAACAGTACACATTGCAGTACTTCTCCAACATGACAGAAATACAGATTCTGATTCGGTGGGTATAGGATGGGGCCTATGACTCTACATTTCTAACAGGCTCTTGAGTATTGCCATTGCTACCTATCCATGGACCATACTTTGAGTACCAAGGCTGTGGTGGAAAGAGAACAGGACTTGGCATCAAAAGATCTGGGTTTGAAGCTTGCCTATGAAAATGAATGGCTATGTAACTTTAAATGTGATGAGTTACCTCTCTGTCCTAGCTTTCTTATGAGCAAAATGGAAACTCCTTTGGAGTTGTCATGTGGGTCACATAGTTGGAGGGAATTGTATGTAACTAGGGAATTGAAAAGAAAGCCAAGGAAAAATAAAGTTAGACATCTGCCTTGTGTCAAAATAAAACAAAGTTTGAAATGTAAAAATAAAATGAAACCCGTGCACTACTAGAAGAAAGTAGAAGAGATTTATACAGTTTTGGGGTGGAAAAACTTTTTAATTAACACAGAGGTCAGAAATTATGAAAGTAAAGGCTGACATATTTGACAACAAAAGTAAAAGCTTCAATGTATTTTTTTAAAAAATACATGAAAGCAAACCAATATAAATACAATCTTACCATATGATGCAGAAATCAGAAACCTTGGTATTTACCCAAATGAGTTGAAAACTTATGTCCACACAAAAACCTGCACATGGATGTTTATGGTGGCTTTATTCATAGGTACCAAAAATTGGAAGCAACTAACATGTCCCTCAGTAAGTAAATGGGTAATCTGTGGTACATCCAAGCAATGGAATATTATTCAGTACTAAAAAGAAATGAGCGGGCTGGGCGAGGTGGCTCATGCCTGTAATCCTAACACTTTGGGAGGCCGAGGTGGGTGGATCACAAGGTCAGGAGTTCAAGACCAGCCTGACCAATATGGTAAAACTCCCATCTCTACTAAAAATACAAAAATTAGCCAGGTGTGGTGGCACCCACACCTGTAGTCCCAGCTACAGGAGAATCAACTGAACCTGGGAGGCAGAGGTTGCAGTGAGCCAAGATTGTGCCGCTGCACTCCAGCCTGGACAACAGAGCAAGACTCCTTCTCAAAAAAAAAAAAAAAGAATAAAAAGAAAAAAGAAATGAGCTATGAGCTACCAAGCCATAAAAAGACACAGAGTAAACTTGAACACATATTACTAAGTGAAGCCAATCCGAAAAGGCTATATACTGTACGATTTCATCTTTATGACATTCTGGAGAAGGCAAAATTATGGAGGCAGTAAAAAGGTTAGTGGTGTCTGTTTAGGTGTTAGGGAGAGGGAAGGAATGAATAGGCAGAGAACAGAAGATTTTTATGGCAATGGCACTACTTTGTATGGTACTATAATGATGGATACATGTGATTATATACTTGTCAAAACCCACAGAATGCACAACACTGAGAGTGAATGTGATAATGACTTGTGAATTTCAGATCAGTTTTAGGTTCACAGCAAAATGGAGCATAAACTACAGAGAGTTCCCCCTGCCATCACACCCAGCCTACCCAACTATCAACATTCTGCACCAGCTGAACATCATTACAGTCAATAAACCTAACCTAAATTGACACATCATTAAATTAACTCAAAATGGAACTAGATATAAAACTAATATAAATGTAGAACTAAATGTAAAACTTAAGATTATAAAACTTCTAGAAGAAAACATGGAAGAAAATTTTTGTGACCTTGGGTTAGATGACACAAAAAGCACAATCCATAAAAGAAAAAAAAAGTTGGTAAATTGGACTTCATCAAAATTGAGAACTTCTGACATTTGAGAGTACTGTGAAGAGAATGAAAAGATAAGGCAGAGAATATATTTGCAAGTCACATATCTGATAAAGGGCTTTTATCCAGAATATTAAAAAAGTCTTAAAACTTAATAGCAAAACCTCCAATTTTAAAAAATGGAGAAAAGATCTAAATGTATTTTACAAAAGAAGATGTATGGAGGGTATATGAGCACATGAAAAGATGTTCAACATTGTTGGTTGTTAGGAAAATGCAAATTAAAACCACAGCACGATACTGCTACATACCTATTAGAATGTCTAAAATTAGGAAGACTGACCATGCCAATCATTGATGAGGATGTGGAGAAGCTGGAACTCTCATACATGGTTGGTAAGAATGTAAAATGGTACAACCACTTTGGAAAAGTGTGGCAGTTTCTTAAAGAGTAGAACATACACTTACCACCTGACCCAGCAGGTGAGGAGCAGAAGGAAGGATTGCAAAGGGCACTAGAAAGCTTTTGGGGCTGAAGGGTTTATTCACTATCTTGACTGTGGTAATGGTTTCACGGTTGTATACATATGTAAAAACTCATCAAATTATGTACGGTGGATACTCCATATCCATGTGTTTTGTATCCATGAATGTGACCAACCACAGATGGAAGATATTTGGGGAAAAAATGGATGGTTGCATCCGTACTGAACACATACAGACTTTTTTTTCCTTTTTGTTATTCCCTAAGCAATATAACAACTATTTTCATATCATCTACATTGTATAGTAAGTAATCTAGATACGATTTAAAGTATATGGGTTCATGGTGGATGGCATTTTAAGTTTAAAAGAGTATATGGAGGATGTTCCTTTTATATAAGGAACTTGAGCATCCATGGTTTTGGTATCCCCAGGGGTCCTGGACTGAGGGATAAATGCACTTTAAATATATGCAGTTGATGGTATGTTGATCACACCTTGATTAGTTGTAAAATATAGTCATGCTTTTTGACTCAGGAATTGTTATCTTGAGGAAATTTATCCTGAGGATATTTATACTGAGGAAACAATGAATGTAAACTTTTATCTAAGAGGATGTTTGTCAGCATGGAGCTGTCTATCATCATGGAGGATTAGATAAGCTAATTATGGATTCCTATGTGGTTATTAAAAACTGTATCAAATGAGAAGAATATTAACAATGTGCAAAAATGCTCAAAAAATATTTTTAAGTGGAAAAAGACTAGGTTATAAAAGTGAATGTACCTGCAGCTGCTATGGAAAACAGTATGGAGGTTCTGCCCAGGTGCAGTGGCTCACGCCTGTAATCCCAGCACTTTGGGAGGCCGAGGCAGGCGGATCCCTTGAGGTAAGGAGTTGGAGACCAACCTGGCCAACATAGCAAAACCCCATCTCTACCCAAAATACAAAAATTAGCCAGGTGCGGTGGCGGGCACCTGTAATCCCAGCTACTTGGGAGGCTGAGGTGGGAGGATCACCTGAACCTGGGAGGCGGAGGTTGTAGTAAGCCGAGATCGTGCCACTGCACTTCAGCCTGGGTGACAGAGTGAGACTGTCTCAAAAAAAAAAAAAAAAAAGAACTACTATATGATTTACCAATCCCCAATTTGGGTATAGATCTAAAAGAATTAAAAGCAGGATCTCAAAGTGTTATTTGCCCACCCATGTTCACAGCAGCATCATTCATTATAGCCAAGAGGTGGAAGCAAGCCACTGTCCATTAATGGATGAATGGATAATTGA